TGAAAAAACAATAAAGAATTAATTTTTGGATAGCCTTTTGCAGACAATTTATTTTATTAGTTGAGGTTGCCGAGCACCCAGAGTCATAATCTGCAAGCCACTTTTCTTCTTTGTATTGAGGACACAAAAGGGAGGTTGGGCTCCCAGGCATTCCTAGCAGCGACTGTGAAAACTGGGAATAAGAATCGTGACGACTTTCATTACTTGCAAGTGAGACTTGTGATATTTTCGGCGATGACTGAGGTGATGCGCGAAGTTGTTCACATTCGGGCTTTTTGGCAAATGATGTAATTTTCCCCAAATCAAGGCCCTTGATTTTCGTGTTTGCATACACACATAGTATGGCATTATGTTTCTCAGAATATTGACGCAATTACTGGAACTCTATGGTTGAAATAATAGATTCAATACTGCAGATTCACTTTGTTGTATGCATTTAATTGATAGATTCAAAGTTGTTAAGACATGAAGTCGTGTTGCACCTTATAAATACTTGAGATATCAATGATTCTTAAACTTCAACTACTAGAAGCAACTTCAACTACTTGTCTGATGTTACATATGTGTCATGGATGTGTTTATAAGGGTAGCTTTGTACTTCACTGTCACGTGCTCTACTTGCAGCACTCCAGCAGCCAGTAGAAACTAGTAGTCTACAAAATAATTAAACTAGTCTATTTATTTTCGAAGTTCTCTAGTATGGGAAATGTGTATTTCTTTTTCATACTGACATCTTCATTGATGTTTCCTTAATGTTGTAGCTTTGCAAGGTCTCAATCTTTGTCTCGTCGTATTGCCTTTGATTGTGGAAGATTGCTTGAAATTACAGCATTATTGCCTAGACATCATTGGAAATTTTCACTTTAGATTTATAAACTGTAACAATTGAACTATAATCTTCTTCCAGTTTAAGTTTAGTCTGACTATTCTATGTACCGTAAAGCAGTCAGTAGAAGAATTAGGAATTTATCTAGTCCTCATTTCTTATCGAATCTCCACGCAGCCTTGAGTTAACACTTTAAGGTGACCCAAACCTATTTATATTCTTCTCGCCCGCATTCAACATAAAGTTGTTCTTCTTGCACTGCGAACTGTATTCGCCGTAGGTTTCTGATTACCCAGTTTCTTGCAACTAAAGCTTTGGGCAAGAATACCCTTGCAGATAGGAGCTAGTCCGCCGGCAGTTTTCCTCTTTTTGCGCCTCAACTTTCACAAATGTGCTAGCGTTACATTTTAAGGTTAAATTTGACAAGCTATTTGTGCAGCGAGTTCTACAGTCACGATTGACTTCAAACTTGCAGATATAAGACTGGAGAGCTGTGAGGCTCATTTGCTGAAGTTAGAGAAAAATCTGTCTTAGGGTTTCGAAGTTACAGTGTAACGACATTTTTTGTAAAAATGTGGTTTTAAACATATGCTGATATCTCAAACGTTTTTATACCTACAAGAAAATAAATAACAGTTTCTTAAAGTTCGACCATTCTTTATTAAGGATGCCAAAACATAACCAACGCACATATAAATAGGTCCCGGCCACCTTAAGAGTGTCTTGTTATTGATTAAAATATATATATATTTTAAGAGAATAAATTGAATACACTTATAGTAGAAAGAATACATTAAGCCTGGCCTTCCTTATTGCTATTCTTGTGTTTTTACTGTTAACATTTTTTGGCTGGAAGCATTCTTGTACGATGACTATTAAGAGATCTGTTGGACTGACTGGATCTGTACCAATAAGCCATGAATTTTTATGAAACATTTTTGAAGTCAACCTTGTACAAAAATAATATATTTTGGATTGCTTCTTCTTTTGAAATGAGCCTAGCCTTCATTCCCTTGACCCTAGAGTGACGGTTTAGTTGAGATAAAATGTGACCCTTCATGCGAAAAGGGGGCTTATGGATTTTACTAAAAACCGTGAATTTTTTTCACGGTCACGGTGCGTGAATTAGAGTTTTCACGGCGTGAATTTCAAATTTCACGCCCGTTCACTCCATGCGAGAATTTTTCACTCTTGGCGTGAAACTAATCATGTTGCGACAGATCAGCGAAGACTTTCACGCCGTGATTATTTAACCGGTATAAACTTTCACGCCGTGAAATTAAGAGTGAACACATTTTCACGCCGTGAAACATGTCGAGGGTGAATGAAATCTAACCTGTTTTTTTTCGTTTTGTGTTTTTTCTCGCCCCTTTTCGAACTGGAAAAAAACAAGAATACCTGGTCACGTCAAGCTAAATTTGTGGAAGTTGATCCCACGCAAAAAATAATATTTCTCTCTGCATATTCAAGCC